CGGGGTTTAACGGCAGCTGGCATCCTTATACATGCAGTGCTGCCATCTTCTGTTTCCGTTATTACACTCTTAAATCCTACTACTTATTCCTGCGTCTTTTGTGATCTTACAAAGCTTCAAACGACGCGTCGACTATTAAATCAGTCGTCGACAATTTTGATAGTCGACGTAATCTTGACTAGTTGACTAATCGTGGCAGCCCTACTATATTCAAAATGTTAAATGACCTGAGTCAAACCTTCCCTGTAACTCTTTAAGGCGTGGGACATATTTTAAATTGTCCCTTGCCAGCTAAGCCATATATTAAATTATAAATGCCTGTGAGTGTAGTATACATAAGTAAAACACAAAAATTGTATGTTCTCGCCATTTATGACCATTTAATACCAGACATAAATGTCTAAAATATGTCTGTCAACATTTTTCAATACTTCTCTGTGCTGACTGATTTATTTCATGTTCCTTAAACGTCGCTTAACCAAAACCTAAATTAGTCACCACAGCGATCATTCATCCCAGCCACAAGTTTATGGTTATTCCACAAACCAGGAACTGCATCACTGTTTAGTGGACGAGCGCAGACAGACAGATGTGGCATCTCCAGAAATTTTGTTTTAAATATTTCAGCTGAAGCTTTGGGAAGCTGAGACAGGTTTTTTTTCTACATTTCTTGGGTGCTGTGGCCAAAGTAGCTTAAGACTGTGTTTTTTTTTACCTTTTTTTTTTTTTTTTTTTTAAGAACTTCTGGTTTCCCATCTTGGACAAATGTCCAAGAAAACTATTTGTATGTTTGTAGCAACAGAGTGATGGAAGTTGAGACACTGATATTGAAATATCCTCATCAGCTGTAACTTGTCTTGTACCAGCTAAGTGGACTCAATCTGACCGCTGAAGCAGGCTGTGTTCCAGCATGACATGGGAGTGTGAAGAAAACACAGGAGTACCGTACTTAACTGGATAACATGAGTGAATTACACAGCGTGTAATGCAGGCATATGGTTGGTACAATGCTATGGTATCATGGCTGTTATTACCTTGTGGTAGACCTCTTGCAGAGAGCTCTGTGCTCCCTCAGATGCAGAACCGATGGCCCGAGCATCACACTGCACAAAAGTTCCTGATGGGTCCATGTGATACCTGTATTACACACACAAAAAAAAACGATACATGTGTTTAAGCAAAGCAAGCAAATATCCCTTAAATTTTAAAATAATAAACAATTATCTTGACATACAGCTGAGGTCCTTTTTCATCAACTCCCCCAAACAGAAGCGCTACACCAAAAGGTCGACTCTGTTTAAAACAAAGCAAAGACACAAATAGAAGTTAAACATCAAACTTTTTAGGTCTGCATCTCAAAATTAAAACACAAACACTGGCTGAGTGACTCACCATGGCACCAGGGTCTGCATCTTCCTCACCAAACTGCAGCGCCAGGTTGGACACAGCCTGAGTCACACTCTCCACTGTCATCGTCTCATTGTAAGTGAACCAGTGGTTCTGAAACAGAGCACATACAGGTTAACCGCAGATAAACACAGCACTCTAAATATGCCTTATACAGCGCTGTGCTCTGAAATCATACCTGTGTTTCCACTCTTGCTTTGTCGATAAGAGTCTTGGCATCAGCTATCAAGCCGCTCATGGCACAGCCTAAGACGTGAAAAGAAAGAAAACTAAATTGCATTTATCTTTCACAAGCTGTGGCCTAAAGCAAGACTCTTCACCATCAAAGTGAGACAAACGAGATGAAATTTCGTGTAATCCGAAGGAAAGCTTTACTGTGCAAGAATGTGGATGATTAAAATTTGTCTGAAACAGCTACAACAACAGTGTGAAAATTAAAGTTGAGGACTTGATTTGCTTAGCTTTGCGAGACAGTGTTCTGACTAATTTAAGCCACTTATACCAAAGAGTTTTTGCTGAAGCAAAGGAAAGAGAATCATTTCTCGAGGTGTTTTTTTTAAAAAGATGAATACTCTCCCTTAAACAGAGGGCTGCAAAAAAAAAAAACCCCAAAACAAAACAAAAAAAACGACACACTGACAATTACAAAATATTTGGGGGAAAAAAAAGAAAAGAGAACTTTAAGATATTTTCACCAATCTTTACATGGAGTAGCCCAGTGATATTCTCTGGTTTAAAGTACTATTAATGGCACTTTGTTTACTTAAAATGTTTATTTATCTATTTTCTGCTTTACAGTCTTGCAAAGGGACCAAATAATAAAGAGATGATGCTTTCAAAAATAATTTCATTAACAGCTTTAATTTGGTCTATATTGTCACACAAACTATATCAGCCAAAAAACTAAATCTAATAATATTTGGTTTAAGCAATGCTTGGTTTAAATGGCTCTGATTTAATTGCAAAAATATTTAAAATCAGTGCTCTGAAGTAAATCAGAGAGGGTCTGGCTGGAATCTTTTTTAAGATTTAATGAATTCACATGGAATGACTCTTTAGGTTGTTTCAATCTATTGATCTAGACGGTTTCAGTTGCTTTTGTCCACATTTCTCTTTTTTGTAAGGGAATAAAAGTTTTTGGAAATTGAAGTGTACATTCAATTAATAATAATATTTTCTGGGCTAAAAAGAAAATAATAAATATTTTTGCTTTTCTTTTTCTTTAACAATATTGCACTGGATTTCTGTGTAAAAAAAACAAAAACAATAACATGCATTTCAAGTCCAATTTTAATCAAAGAATCAATTAACTGGTTTAGCTGACTGGATATCTTTTCTCATTACAAAAAACAGCCAGTAATATTATGTCAACAAAAGCCTTAATCCTTTGTCATGGTCCATTTCCACTTACCAATGTGACTATCAATCTCCACGATCTTCTCAATGCTGTTGGGCTCCATCAGGGGAGAGGTGATCCTCTTCTCCACAGCCAGACATACCCCTTCTGAAGTCTGGATACCGATGGCTGTGGAGCCCAACTAGAAGAGCAAAGCCAGGCCAAAGAAAATAGATGAGCTCGAATATAATCACTTTGTTTAATAACCGCGCAGAAATAGTTAAAGATTCCTGTGAAGTACTCACTTTTATTGCCTCTATGGCATATTCAACCTGGAACAATCTTCCCTCAGGAGAAAATGTGTTCACACCTCTGGAAAACAGAAATTAAAGTTTAGAAATTTTAACAACGATTAATATATTAAAGATAGCTGTAAACGTTATTTTCACTATTATTATTTGCACGTCTATTACCTCATAACAGTAAAGTAAATAAACGCTCAGCTTGAAAAGGATGGCATACCGAAAGTGAAAGCAAACCAACTTTTTCCTAACATTGATTATTAGCTGCTAGCTGATACAAGCTGTAGAGACACTGTTACAATAAGGGTTTAACGAAATCAGTATTTTCTATATTTTCTTTCGGCGTTTAACCGGGCTTTCTTTCTCGGGTAGACAATAAAACACCTGTGTGCTCTCGTTCGTTTGTTCATTTCCCTCTGTTAAGCGCTCAATAAATGACAAAGCAGTTTGTGCTGCACCTACCTGTCATATTCCGATCTGGTCAAAAACATCTTTTAACGTTAAACGCAGGATCTAGAAAAAGATAGATGCGTTATTTGCGTAAGATTAATGTACAGTACCAACAAGTTAAAGCAAATATTGAGAGCTGATTCTAGTTTTTGGTTTCAAGTTTGCTGTGACACCGGGTTATCTGCTAGCTGCAGTTAGCGGTGATACCGAGCAGGCGTGCTAGCTAACAGCGCAACCAATTACACAATTAACTGCATATTAGACACAAATATACATCAAACATCAAAATTCCATCAGTTTAACAATGTCCGGGGAAATATATGTGTACAATTTCCCAGTATTATTCAAAATAACTTCACTTGCTCGGCTCGTTTACCTTCAGCCAAAAACCCTTCAATGAGTTCGCTTGTTTCAGAGGAAGCGTTTGGTGTGTTACATCCAAACGCGCCGGTTGTTAGCAATTCCCTAACTAACGTTCCGCGTCTCCAAGTCAAAATATACTTCATTAAATTAACTTTATTTATGTACTCTGAATTTAAACGCTTTTGATTTTGTGGTTGTTATTATGTGTTTTTACTTGTAAAATTCAAAAACAAGAAAGCACATTATAATACTGGTATTTGTGAAAAATTAGGAAAAATAAAGCTGGGTAATGTTGCCTGAAAACACGATGTTGTTTCCTACAATCATAATTTTTCTTTTTGTCTGAAGACAAATTGTTAATGAAATTTACTGAAGACAAATAATTGTTCCAATTCGTGCAAATCAGAATAACAAGAATACAACTTAACAAAAACAGACAAAGGTAATGATCGTTGGGTGCCATGCGTTTGCGTACATGTATTATGCAACATTACACGACTGATGAGTACAGTGTCCCATATGGTCTAGCGGTTAGGATTCCTGGTTTTCACCCAGGCGGCCCGGGTTCGACTCCCGGTATGGGAACGCCTCTTTTGTGACGATGGGATTTTAATGTCTTTCACGTGAATGTCGAACTTGGCCTTCGTAGTGACAAAATGGCACAATGGGCTCCAAAACACAGTATAATTTATTAAATTATTGTGGTCACTTGAGAGCGGAACCAACCGCTGGGTGTCGTTATTGAGCTGAATTAGAAGAGACGATGACCTGTTGATTTGTCTGATTTCTTCATCAGGTTAAATACCCCAAAATATAAAATATTTTGCGCCTATCGAGATTAGTCGTCGTTAAGTTATCTGCTATGCTCTTGGAAATGATTGTTTGGCTTACTATGCTGAGTGCTACTGGAAAAATAGTGTGGCTTTTGAAATGTGCTCTAATACGAATACCAATATGTCACCACTACAAAAGTAATGATGTACAGCTATTAACACAACTTAGTGGAAAAGTAAGAGAATGTAAGTGTAAAAACAAAAGTCTCTCTTGAGATTTTTTATTGTAGGCTAATTAGTCGGGGGGTTTTGTGAGAGGAGGTTTACTTGGCGGTGTCGGGTTTCATTTCCCGGCTGATTTCAGTTCCGCTCGGTTCTGTTTTGGTTCTGTGGTGAAGCTCTAACTTAATGCTGTGTCTCTCCAAACTCTGAAATGTGACTAACCTTGACGGGTTGCTGTTGCGAACAGACAGGCTGGACATATTTTCTCACGCTCAGGGCGGACTGCCAGGTGCAGAACACTGACTTATCGGCTTAAAACTGAAAAGATGAAAACCAAGAGGGACGACATCATTTTTCAGACTCTCCTCTTGATCCACAGTAAGTAGGCTGGAGTGAAGCACTGTTTTGCTTTTGTTGCAAGCGTGGATAGACTTTGCATTCGTGAGTTAAAGTATTTTAGAAGTTGGACTCAGCAGTGGAGAACACTCTAAAGAAATTAAAAATATATTTTACTAAGTAACTTTTCCTCGTTTTTCCTTTTGTTCTGAGGTGAAAGAACGTTTGAAAGATTTGTTAAAGATTTGTTTGTTTGTTTCTAGTGTCGTTAAGGTAGATTGATGTATTTGACCTTTCTGGGCTGATTTTAAAACCAGACTTCCGTCCACACTTACAGCGCAGATACATTCTTCGGAGATGAGAAACACTGAGGGAGGGTTAATTTCAATCAGGCCTAACTGCACAGTACAAAAACAAAGCCCAAAAGGGTTTCCAGATAGCAATATATATTAGTTTACACGGGCAGTAAATTGCCTACACACACACATGCACACACATACATGCATTTTCAGATGCAGGGACCTACAGATTTGGTCTGAATATCTGTTTAAGTGATTAACCCTTTTGCTTATTTCTACTGTTTTTTGTTTTGTTTTTTCAGTCCCTGTGGCCTGCTTCTTCACTGCAGGTAGGTTTCTCCTTGTGTGTGTGCACATGTGATCTATGTGTCCATGAGTACTAAAAATGTTACACCCTGTCTGTCCTTTGTCAGTGTCATGTCAGGCTGAGAGCAGCAGCGTGGTTGTGGCAGGTTATAATGTGAGCTCCCGCGCTGGTTCAAAGCTGGTGCTGCAGTGTGTGAGCAGCCGGATGGTGTGGACCAGGGACAGGGTGAGAGACAGGCAGAGGGTGATCCACTGGGATATGTACCGGGCTTATCCGGACTACGCCATGGAAAGGGTAGTGGACATGTTCTCAGCAGGAGAACAAAGGATGTACAACTCCTACAACCTGGGCAGGGTTGGTCTCAACCCGACAGCCTTCAAAGATGGAAACTTCTCCCTGGTTATCAAAGGTCACACACACATACAGACACATTCTGTTTTTGTCTTTCATGTGTAACTGTAACTGGCCAACATTACTTTGTTGGTGTGTCTCACTGTGGCTTTGCTTGTTATGTTCTTATAACAAATATTTCAGATCACATATTAAGTATGTAGACAAATATTTTAAAAGAAAGGTGAATCATTGCCACTGAAATGCAGTTAAAATCAAAGACCATCTAGATATTTGTTAGGGTAGAAAGCCAAATGCATCCTGACACACTCCCCTCACAATCAGATATCATCCCCTTATCACCTCTCTTCCATGCAGAGGTATGGCTAAATTGCATCAGTGTGACCACTATACTGTTACAGGGCAACCATGTCTTCTAATAGAGGCAGTCGGTCTGGCTATGATTAAAATCATTAAAGCTCTGTGTGGAAATTTTTCAAGTGATTTAGTTCGGTATTTGTCTCTGATTTCCCGTCAGTGCGCAACTGGTCCCCATTGCCACCCCATTACCAAAAACTAAAATGCCCAGTTTACATAGATTACCATCCAACACCAAATCTCAAACACAGAGTCAACAAAGGTTTCACAGATACCTAAATGCCACACAAAGGAATAAATATGAAGCCTCTATAAACTACATTACTTGATAATGAAAAAAAAAATGCCATTAAATCTAAAAGGTTTTGGAAAAAGGTTTGCTTTAATATGAAGTTTGCACTTCTGTTTCCTAAGTGGCCATGCTTGATTTGCTGTACTTCTACATGTGATGACAGATGTGACGATGAATGACCGAGGTCTGTACTCCTGCAACCTCCACCATCTCTACTGCAACTTTTACGAGACAGTCAGAGTCCAGCTCAATGTCACTAAATCACGTATGTATCACACTCTATCAGCTATCAGCACGTGAGCTGAAGTACATTAGTATTAATCCACAAACCCCTTTGACTTGTTTTTGCCACAAAGGCCGTAAAGAACAGCGATACTGGAATGGGCATAATGCCGTGTTCGTGGTGCTGCTTGGGAGCACTGCAGTGCTGCCGTGCACCAACCGACGTAGTGTGTGGACAGACTGGAGCGACCAGGAGGAGGATCAGCAGGTGTTTCTACTTGTTTCCCGAGACAGATCAAGAGCTAACATTTGTTTTTAACATTACAATTGACATGTACATGTCCTGGTTAATCTGCTTTGGATTATTTCTTTGAACTGTTTTTCCAGGGTGTAACAATTGTACAGCATACATGTTTAATGACTTTAATGACAAGAACTGAGTGCAAATCACTCTTTTTGGCAGAAATGGTAGAGGTTATTTAATTGGTTGATTGAGATATCTTTTAAGCATAGTCCTCAAATTTCAATGAGGTGAGTTCGGGAATTTGGGAAGGCCATTCCAGTTGCTTAATGTTAATCTACTTTATTTATTCCAAAACCAGTTTTGACGTGTTTGGGATCATTTTCCTGTTGAAACACCGAACTGTGTCCAAGTTTCAACCATTTAGCTGATGATTTGAGGTGAATTTGAAGAATTTGGAGGCAATCCTCCTTCTTTCTTATTCCATCTACTTTGTACAATGTACCGGTACCACTAGCAGCAACACAGCCCCAGAGCATGATGGTCACCACCGTGCTTGACAGTTGGTACAATGTTCTTAGGTTTGAAAGCCTTACCTTTAACTCTTCAACCATCCCGCTTCTCATTATATCCAAAGAGTTTAATGTTTGTCTCATCTGACCGTCTTATTTTTCTCCAGAAGGCATTTGACTGGTCCATATGGACAGCTGCAAAAAAAAGAGTTTATTTTGGAGCAGGAGCTTCCTTCTTGGTCGGCACCCTCTCTGTACATGGTGATTTAAAATTCACTTCACCATGGACAGTGATGCTGGTCTTCCAGCAGTTTCCAGTTAATGTCAGGCTTGATGCTTGGTGATTCCTGGGTTGTTCCAGAACATCCTCACCAATTTCCTCTCATCAGAGGGAAACTGTCATGGTGCTCATGTATTTCTTGTATATGTTTTTCCATATGTTATGGTGGTTTTCTCTCCCTTTTTGTCCTTTCTCCCTGGGTGCTCCCGGATGTTTTGGGGTCGCTGAGGGGACTGCGACCCGGAAGTGTTCCCGCACTGGGGACTGCCGCACCTGCCGCCCATTAGCCCTCACCAGCTGCAGCTGATGGCTTCATGAGGGGCGCCTTATTTAAGAAGGTGGCAGAGCCCCAGTCGGCGCGGGATCATACTAAGTCGAACCTGTTAAGTACCTCCGTAGATTAGTGTGTTGTGATCGGCTTCGCTACTAAAGGCTGCCTGCTGAGCTGTGTGTGTTTTTGTGTCACCAGGAGTCGGGAGTCAGGAACGTCGTCACGAGGGGAAATCACAGAGTGGAATCGGGTTTTTGGAGTTGTCACCTTTTCACTGCTATGGACACGTGCACTGTGTGGGATTCTTGGAGGAATCGCCACAGGAGTCACAGTGCTTGAATTGTATATAGTTGTCGTTTCTGTCCACTCGCCATAAATAAATCCACTGTCCTTCACTTGAGTCTCGCGTTTGGGCCCTACTTTCTCTACAACTCCACGGTCTGCCGTCGCAGCCCGTGACAGAAACTGTCTTTGCCCAAACTGACCCAAATTGCCTTTGCCAAGACAGTTTGGGTCTTTGCCCACATCTTGGCAAATTAATAATGCATCCAAATAACTTGTACATACATAAAGTTGTTTTAAGTGATGATTTTGGATTAAGCAGTTGTTTTAGAAATGGCTCCAAGAGACCTTACTTGTGTGAATCTACAGTTCTCCTTGTTAGATTTTCACTGAGTTCCTTGGAGTTTCCTGTTGTTCTGAGTATTGGTCAGTCCAATGGATGCTGCCAAACAAATCCTTTTTATGTTGCCAAAGATAAACTATCAGTTGTCATCAATCATGATCACAAACAAAAAGTTAAACAAGGGGTTAATAGGCCTTGGCATTGTTAAAAGACATTGTAGAACTTTCAGCACTACTTATTAAAAGATTGAATTAAGTGTGTGTTGACTCGAGGATTTGAGAAAATCCTAAATAAATTCAGAACTTGTGCACCCTGTTCTTGTTGTTTTGTTTTTTGTTTTAATCATTAAAGATGTATGCTGTACAATCATTCCACCCTGGAAAAGAAATCATTAAAAGTCCAAAATTATGATTGCATTCATGCTCATAATTAACATGTGTAAATGTTTGACTACAATTGTACATTAACTGATATATCTGGCTCTTTAGGTGGTTCACTGGGACCGTCAGGCTCCAGGAATTTCCCATGACCGAGCTGACCGGCTTGTGGACCTGTACGCCTCTGGGGAGCAGCGGAGCTATGGACCTCTGTTCCTTCAGAGGAAGATGAATATCAGCAATCACGCCTTCTCCGAAGGAGACTTCTCACTCACCATATCTGATCTGCAGGTGCGTATGTGTGAGCTTTTTAAAAGAGAGCTACTTAAACAAAAGTGGTATAGGCTCACTTCTCATGAGGTTCATCTGTGCTTTAACAAATCTGTGGTCCAATGCTCTTGGCATAAAAGCGTCTGCAAAAGCGTGTATTTGTGTGTATACATGTAAACAGTGTTTCCAGAACAGATGAAACTCTCATTAGTAATGCATCTCTTTTCAAGTCAACCTTTATTGCTCCATTGGGAAAAATGAGGTTTTAAACCACAATATGTTGGGCAACCAATGCAGTTTTAAAAAAACCCAACAGCAACAGTTATTGCCATTTGTTATAATAGCAAGCAGATCTCATAAATCATAACATTTCATTTGTATACAGGCTCGGGAAACTTTAGGGAGCCGTTTTCTGGTCAGCTACAAAAAACCATAGGCAGATGTTTTCAAAATTAACACAATTTTTTTTCTCAGATATCAGTTGTGTGTAACGGCACAACTTCTCTGATGCATGAAAACAGATGTGTTTAACATGGGCCTAATTTTTTTCTTTTCTCTGTCTTACATACAGCTGTGGTCAGGCATTTACATGCACTCATGAATGCTTTTAATGCTTTCTTTAAACTGTCCTGTGTTTCCAGCGTTTAATGACTGTACAACATGTAAAATCTTCAATAACTTTAAAAAAAATAAGATTTTGATGCACAGTTTAAATTTATTTCGGATTTTCTTGAATTCACAGAGTGCCCTTAAAGGAGCTAAAACAGCTTGTTTCATACAGAGCATGAACTGAGGGGGTGTTTGAAAAAAATCTGTATCAACAATTCACTTCTGACTCTTGCACAAATGTATTTTTGACAAATCCCAGATGTTGCTAAATTCTGCTGTTCAACTCTGTGGTGAAAGTAAACAAATTTGCCTGTTAGTCTATTGAGCAATATTGTTTTTTTTAGTCTTGCACATGTAGGACCCAAGGAATTGATAATAATTTATGATTTTGTCATACATTTTTTTTCCCTTTCTGGTGATTTGTAGTTAGTAGCATTGTTCAGCTGTTATTCTCACCATTATAAAGCCCAAAGATCCTTAGCTGACTACCCCAGTGTTTCGATTGCACTTTGGATCTGATGTAATGACCATCATGATCATTGTCAAGTAACGCTTTTAATTCATGGCCAAATTTGTGTCAGGAAACAATTTTTAAGGAGGTGGCGCAGGGAGAAAAGGCTAAGGTATGCCAAATTATAAAAGAACAGGGTTAGGAGAGGGGCACAACAGTGAGTATCTAGAGCTATCTGTAAAACATGGTACAGCCTCTGTCATGGTTTCCTGCTGCATTTCAGCCAGTGGTGTTGGGAATCTTGTCAAAGACCCACAGATGTTATTGGACGGATCCATGATGCAATACATCTGGAAAGCATGACATTATTCTAAACACACTGACAATGCAGTAAAAACATACCTGGATAGAAAAACGCCCAATGCAACACTATCAGTCATGGCCCAGACCTCAACATTATTGAAGCAGTGTTGGATCATTGTGGCCGAGAATAGAACAAAATTCTGGAGAGCTATTCCTGAGAACTACTTTAAAAAATGACCCGAAAAAAAGCTTTCTTTAGAGAGTTCAGGCTGTGTTGAAGAATAATAGTGGTCATACTAAATATTGACTTTCAAGCTTATTATTATTATGTACAAACTGTTTTTGTCTTATGGTAAATGGCCTGTATTTGTATAGCGCTTTACTAGTCCCTAAGGACCCCAAAGCACTTTACACAACCAGTCATCCACCCAGACATTCACACACTGGTGATGGCAAGCTACATTGTAGCCACAGCCTCCCTGGGGCACACTGACAAAGGCCACCGGGCCCTCTGGCCACCACCAGTAGGCAACGGGCGAAGTGTCTTGCCCAAGGACACAAGACCGAGACTGTCCAAGCCGGGGCTCGAACCGGCAACAAGGCGAACTCCCCACTCTTGAGCCACGATCGCTCCTAATATACTCTATCTCCATTTATAATAACCTATGGACCTATTTCACATTTTCCTAGCAAAATATGAAGAAATGAGGAATTGCTTAAGACTTTTGCACAGTACTGTATAATCACAGAGCTTTACTCTTATTCAAGAAAGTCTTGGGTCATTCCATGAAAAATGAGTGAGGACCTCCTATCTAATCTTCTCAGAACCAGCTGATTTCTTTTCTACTGTAATTTTACTAGTGTTAATGATGCGACGCAAAATTTTACTGCCAGATTGAAGATTTGCAGCTTGTAAGTCATGTAATATTTTTTTCCAGCATTTTTGAGCCTGTATCGATCCCTTGTTGAGTACAGAGGATGGATAAAACACATTTAATCTCACAATCTAAGACCAAAATCTTTTTTTTAGATCAGATCAGCCACTGGGATGGGCTTAGGTGGGGTGGCTGATATAAAACAATCTAGCAACATTTGATTACGGGCTTATTTTCTAGCCACGATTCATTACACAGTGAAAATAAAATATTGATGTGAAAAAAATCTTTAAAGAGAATTCAATCTTTTAATAAACTTGGATTTAATTTCTATTAAATTCATTATATTTGTATAGTTCATATTGTTAATATTAATAGAGTTTGTACTGATGCCCTTTGTACAATCTCGGTCCTATTTTTCACTCTTCTTTGATATTTTCTTCCATTTGTCTGTCTGCTAACAACAACCCATTTTAGGGTTTTGACTTTATATACATATAGTTTAATGTGTATTTGTGTTCTGACAGCCAGCAGACCAGGGGCTGTATTCCTGCCACCTCCACCATCATTACTGCGGTCTCCACGAGAGAAGAGTATTTCAGGTCACAGTGGAGCCTTCGCTGGTTAAGCCAACAATGCCGGCTAAATCACTGCCCAGCGAAGACAAGGGTAACTCACAAAAACACAAACACACAGTCTCTTTCTTCCTGCTCTTGTCAGCATGAGTATCTTAGCAGAGAAAATGTTTTATGACCTGGTGGATTTGAACTATCATGTGTACGATTAGGAGAAGGGGAAACATACACATCTGCTCTTTCCTTCACTCATCCCGTCTTGTTTTGTCCTCATTCACTGACTCACACTCTACAAAAGAAGTAGCAGCAGAGGAAGAAAAAAAAGAAAGGGTGTGGGTGAAGAGACCCTCTTATTTCTTGCACTGTCAGCTTCTTTGATGCCAGGCCTTTTAACCTCCGCCAAAACCCTCTAAGCCTCACCCTCGCCACTTTTCACGTTTGTCTAAATTTCACGTATGTGTGTAGTTGCACATTTAAGGTTCGTAGGGATTGCTCTGTCCACACAAATTTCTCAACTCTTTGCCTGGTCTGAAAAGTTCTTTCGTTGGGTGGACATCAGTAAAAGAGAAAAGACACAGTGGAGAGGAGGAGGAGGGGTGTTTGGCACGATGGCTTGCCAGCAGCCTACCTCAAATTCTTCGATAATGAGAGAGTTTCTGGTGCATGGGTTTGTTTTTCCAGAAGGTAACTGAAGCAAAGTTGCTAATGGCACATGTATCAATGTGGGAAAATCATTGAGACGGCTTTAGAAATGGCTGAGTCCATCTGTGTGTGTAAATATGTGTGTGTGCCTAAAGTTCATGCCAAGAAGACCGATCTCATTTCAGTGGAATCTCTTGCATACAGTCACAGGACTGAAGTCCAGATCTGCCCACTCAATTAATCCTTCGCTCCCAGAGCTGTAATAATAAAGTAAGATTTTATCCACGGGAATGGTGCTGGTTTATCTGTTTTGTTGCCTGCTCCTCTGCACTCTCAGACATTACAGTAGTCTACTGCAGTATTATGTCTTCCTATCTCTCTCGTTTCGTCTGTCTGCTGCCGTGTTGACTTTGGCTCTCTCCACGCATTCAGCAAGAATTTGTCTCACTCATTACCCCACTTTTGTTTGCCTTCTGCTGGGTCCTTCTTATTTTTCTGCTTTGATGAGCTCGCCTGACTTTTTCCCTTCACATATAAAGAAAGGAGCCATTTTCTGCAGCTTTTGGACAAGAACAGGAAGCGTGCCTCATCTGCAAAACAGCTGGTCACACAAGACGAAAGTCAAACTGAAAGGTAGACAGAGGGAGAAAGAGAGGAAAGAAGAACAAGAAGGGAGCGAGGAATTTGTTGATGAAATGGGGTCGATGAGATGTAGGTCACCCTTTCCCTCCCTCCCTCCCATTAGAGTTATTTATCCGTGGAGTTTTAGCACCGTCATTGCGGCCAGTTTGAATAAAAACACACATGTTCTCATGTCAGGGGAGGAAAAAAGTCTTTATAAAACAATCAGAGGATTTGTAACGTCGATGTGTTTTGTTTTTATGTTTTCTTTTTTGTGTCCATGTGCTGTGTTTGGGATGTCTGCTAGAAATCTTTTCTAGCTTTATTCTGTGAGGCATACCTCTGGAGAAACATCTCATCGTCTCCTTCCTCTCCCTCGGCTCTCACTGCTTCCTTCACTTCTCTCGCGCTTGTCGCTTTTCTGTGTTTTACTGCCAGGAAAAGTAAATCAGAGCATGACAGTCTGGATCTCATTTTGGCTTTAATATGTTGAGTCTGAGGTCCGCAGCTGCCTCCTGCCTTGCACTTTTTTAACTCTTTTTTTTTTTTTTTCCTTATGAAGCTAAATGAAACCAGACTCGCCTTGATCCTCTCTTTGTGAATACTCAGCAGAACCGTGCTGAGATAGAAAAAAGACGACTAATTATTTCTCACTTCCATAACGTGTTTTGCATGTCGTACAGCAGGAAATCTAGTACAACATGTGTAGGATAAAAAAAAAAAGGTCGTCTCATGTGAGCCATGCCACCGGATGTACCAGCAAGGAGAGCGTGTCTTTATGGTGTAAACACAAAATACTAACAACAAGATGAGTCTCAGCAGAAATCTGTGGGGGGGTTTTTTTTTCTTTTCCCTCCAAGTCTTTAGCCGGTACACTGTCCAAAACAAAAAACAATGTGACACTCACGACAGGAGTAATGTCTGTTCAAATGGAAGCTCCGGTCTTGTTTACTACATCTGTAAACCACGTAATGACACACCGGTTTGTTTGTGAGGGAAAAGATGAAGAACAGATGAAAAAGAAATGCTGACTGCTGTCACTCTTCTATTGCTCAGAGACAGCTAAGGCTGAATCACCACGAGTCATCACCGTCATCTTGCCTGAGCAAAGGCACCACTTTCTCCTGCCTCTGGGCTACGTCCTCACCTCCTTCCTGCTCCTGGCATTTGTTGTCCTCATCATCGTTGTCATCTTACGACGACGCACGACCAAAGGTGTGAAGCTGACGGCTGATTTCAGATAAATCACTCAGAATCTGCTTTTTTTCCCCCTTCTTTTGAATCTCATTAAATGTTCTTGTGTTTGCAGAAATGTATCCTCAGTCGTATATGGGGTGAGTGCTGACAATACACACAGACACACACACATATAACCGCTTTCTTCACCCACGTGTGTCCCCCTCACTGTGATAGGCCCAGCAGAAGTCAGAGCTGCTCAGATGAGTTTGAGATGGACGTTACTGAGGTGAATGTGTGCAGCCCGGAGGAAAGAAGATTCGGTGAGTTAAGAGAAAGAAAAGAGTGGAGTGTAAAAAAATATTGGTTCATCTCTCAGATGGGATTAGATGTGGTCTTTCTGTGTTTAGACTACAAGAACAACCTGCTGAAAGAAAAAGCCCACGTGAAAACTCAGCCAAAATTCATTGATCTCGACAAAGGTACACAGACACATGCGAACATCTATCATAAATCACCTGACACTCTCTTCCTCAAACTCAATCCATCTTTCTTTCTTGCAGAGATGCAGAAGTTCTCTAAGTGAAATAAAAGAAGTGGAACTGGAGTCACTGGCTGGTCCAGAGGCTGCGCTCCAAGATAAACACCTCCATACCGTCTTCTGTCCTGTCAGGAGAGATGCCGCAGAGAGAAACGCAGTGTTGCAAAAATCTGTGTTGTGACATTCAGAAAAAGAACACTGAGGTTTTGTGTTGCCAAATTGTAGATATTAGATACAAACAGGACTGTGAAAAAGTATACGCCCCCTTCCTCATTTCTTAGTTTGTTTGTGTATTTGTCACACTTACATGTTTTAGATCATCAAACAAATTTTACTATTAGACAAAGATAATCAGAGTAAATACAAAATCCAGTTTTCACATGGTGATTTCATTTATTAATTGGTTTAAAAAAGAAATATCCAAAAATGCTCTGGGATTCCAGTGAGCCAGAGTGAGAGCCATTATCCACAAACGGAGGATAATGGACTTGGACCAGTGCTGAACTTTACTAGGAGTGGCTGCCCCACTAAAATTGCTCCAAGAGCGCATCGACAACTCAGGGCAACTCCAGGAGTTCACAAAAGAACCCAGAACAACATTTAAAGAGCTGCAGACCTCACTTTTCTTAGTTAAGGTCAGAGTTCATGATTCAACAGTTGGGAAAAAAATAATAAGACTGAGCAAAAATGGCATCCATGGGAGAGCTCCAAGGAGAAAACCACAGCTGACTGAACACAACAAAAATCTCATCTCACATTTGGAAAATATTCTGTGGGCAAAGGCTGAACTTTTTGGAAGGTTTCAGTCCCGTTACATGTTGTGTAAATCTAAAACAGCATTTCATAAAGAGAACATGGTGGTGGCAGTGTTGGCTAATCGATGGAACCATTAATTCTGCTCTCTACCTAAAAATCCCGTCTGATCGTCAGTTCGTGTTTTCGCAACAGGACAATGGTCCAAAACACACTAGCAAGGCCACCTCTGAAATGTTTAAAAAAGTGTTTTGGAGTGGCCTAGTCAAAGTCGGGACTTGAATCGGATTGAGATGCGTGGGCCAAAATTCCTCCACACTGGTGTCAAAGACTCATCGACAATGATCACAACCACTTGATTGTGAAACTTGATTGCCTAATAACTGGTTGTGCCACAATGAGGGTGAATACTTTTTCACACAGGGCCGGCTTGGTTTGGATCACTTTTTTCCCCTTAATAAATAAAATCATCATTTAAAAATTCAGGTTATCTTTGTTTGATGATCTGAAACATATAGCTGTGACAAATATGCAAAAAAATCCTAAGAAATGAGGAAGAGGGAAAATTCTTTTTCACTGCACTAAGATTGACCTGGCTGCGAAAGGAAGGAGAAATGTGTGCACAGATCGCACAGAACTGACTCACTTCTGAGTTGGTTAAGATAAAGTTCCAGCCTGAATCATTATTCCTTTAGTTAGAAAGTTTTTATGCTGATTTTGCTCTTTTTCTTTTCCTCCCATAAGCGCCACTGAAGTGTTACCATAACTCTGCACTGCGTCCAGTAGCTGCTGACTAACTGTATGCTCACTCACCACCAAGCAGAATATGTGAAACGTTCTGTTTTGTATCCACGCTCTGATGCAGATATTTTTTATTGTACACTTGCTTAGTGGGCATCACCCTGCTTCTTTTTTCCTCTGTGAATGTAGGAGGCGTGTTTCACAGCAGTTTCTCTTACCCTTTGTTGGATTTAGTCATGTTATAACCAGTATAGCAACCGTCTCACACAACTTCAAACAACGCAGTTAAATCAAAATACAAACCAGCTGGTTAAACAACGCTGTTGTAAATTCTCTGCTGTCACTGCTGCTGTTACTGTGTGAAATCAAAATATTGTATTCAGCCAAGTGGCTCCTGGTACTTACAGGCAGGCGTTTTTATTACAGTTAAAACCACCAAAAAATCTGGAAGGTGAAATTTTATTGTTTCCACTCTGTGTGAGAATAGATGTTTACCTCACTTTCTGTTTTTGGGCTTCATCTTCGTTCATCCCACAAGTAGTGCCCATTGTGGAAAAGGAAGTTAGAGAGCAGAAGTTCTTAGCCATTTTAAAACTCCTGGGTTTCTGCTTTCACTTGTCTGAGCAGACCTTGTACCCCGGTTTTATTATTATTATTGTAATATTCTGATGTTGCTTGCTGTATTTGTATTTGACGGCATCAACTTGATTTCTCTCGTGTGTTGTGCGCCCCCTAGCTTAGTCTGCATTAACTACTACAAAGTAAAATCCCAGCATTACAGTGTCTAAGACATAAAGGAGGACACCATCCTACTTGCAGTACTCTGTGTGAATAACACTCCACTCTTAAAGAAAAAAAGATTGCTGTTACATCTGCTGTGGCTTTTGCTTTTCTCAGTTAGCCATGCTTGATACTAATTTAACTACCTATTGTTGTGTTGTACTGTACTGCTAATCCAGTAAAAATGAAAAACAAAAGACAGACTGTGTTGCTGTGTAGTTTCATTTCTAAGCCAGCAGATATGATCTCTCCAGCATTTCCTGCTCTGCCCAGGAGTCTCCTCAAATGACAAAATATCAAATTCAACTTTAAAAATTCAAACATGAAATTTAGGAGGAAGGTCTTCTTTAGTCAAAAAATAAAATAAAATAAAATCCAGGAGCATGAGTTTAATGTTACGTAAAAATTTGACTGACACTCATGTCAAACTGCAATTTAGGTTTTATCTCATTTATTCATTCCTTTGTGTCACAAACAGTCCCTGAATTCAAGACAAATGGCTTTTTATACACTTTGTGAAGTTCATTTTGTGTACATTTCCTATAAAATACATGATACTGTTATATACTTTCAATCTAAAAACGGTAGAAAACCACGTTCTGTCTTGCACTGTTGGACAAGTGTATCGAAAGAAGCAGCTCGCAGTCGGCCAGCACGCACACTTTTACACATCCACAAGCTCACCTGTGATTTAAATTCAGTACAGGAAGAAGAAACGAAACATTCACAGAACTACAAGAGGCTAGTTAGTTCTTCCCGGTCTCCCTTTCATACAAACATGCATCCAATCAGGCAGACAGCTGCAGGGTATAGAAGGAAATTCATTTACTTAGTAAACACAAGATGAGCAGAAATTTGGGGCCACACTGTGTTTGTTTACAATTAAGAGGTAAGCTACAGGTATTACAGGGCGATGACCGGGCAGGATAGGTCGGTGGAGAAAGGACTTGCTACAGGAAGTTTTGAGTAACGGGCTAGATGTGTCTTCTAGCACCAAGTTCAATTTGAAATGATCAAAATGCGGAAAACGGCCCATTCTTATTCCCAGGACATCATACATGCTTGATGGCAATGTAGGGCTAACGCTGAGAACCCAAAAGCACAATCTTTACCTAAACTTCACCAAGAACCTTTTGGTTTCCAAAGCTTTCAAATAGGACACAAACCACAGCCTTCTAAAGCAGATATTATTACTCTGTACAAGTTACACAAAGAACACCTTGTGTTTATGTCCGCATTGCCAGAACGACAGTATATGATACCCTGGGATGAGAACGCTTTAAAGGAAACAAGCCTACGGAACAAGAGTGTAAATTCCAGTAACAACACCATATTCAAATCTAGGTGTCCTAAAACAGAAAAGCAGCAAATGTGTTTTTATCTTAGTGTCCCTCGGTGGGGGGTGAATTAATTTAAAAAAAAAAAAAAAAAAAAAAAAAAAAAAATCACAATGTCTTAATTATGTCACCGAAGGAGCTGATGTAGTACACATACTGTACATCCTGGACTCAGTGTTACTGGAGAAGAGTTTGACGTATGTTCTGATACTCTGGGCCAGCACCGTCTTCATCTTCCCAGCCAGTCACTCCTGTTCTACAGACCAGGTGTACACACAGTGCTCATGTTTATCCCAGGGCACTTTCCATATATGGTTCATAGATCTGAACAGTCTTAAATACAGCCTAAACCCCCCTCATTAGGGGCTCTATTAACACATAAAAGGAAAAATGTAATATTCATGGTCCAATAAGAACAGCCACATTAAGCAGAGTGAAAGAAAATGCCCATCTCTCGCCTCCTCTGTTCCTTAGGGCCTGGTCCAGCCTCTGCGACCTTTATTAAACATATTAGATTTTACACTAAAGCACAGGGATCCACTCCTTCAGACTGGTCAAAAGAGATGCATGGTGAGAGTTGTTGAGGTTCCTGACAGGGCTGGCACACTGTAAACCTGATGACGGGTGATTTCTGGTCAGAGTTCTCAAGTGTCAACCACGAGTCCGATCGGGTCGTGCTGAGGGCTCTCCAGAAGTGAGGAACTGTCAGGTGCAGCTGGGTGAGTGGGGTGGGACATGCCTGCACCTGAGCTGCAGCTCACACAACCCTGAGAGAGACAGCAACGCATTAAACACACGGTCACAGGAAACGAAAACAAAAATGTTCACAGTGAGTGATTCGTGGCGATACCTGTGTGTCTATTTCCTGTGGGATGGCATGCTGTTTGATCCATGGATGGACTTCAGCCAGCTCCACTCTCTGCTCTTGGCTGAACCAGGGCTGGAGGGGCTGAAGCACTCGAAGCTTCTCCCTGTCCTCCGCCAAAACCTTGTTCTGGTCCCTGCGGGGAGAGAAAGCATGAGATGATAAAGGATGATGAAGAAAAGGTAAAGGGCATGAAGATGAACTGTCTCCCCCATGTGTGACAAAAGTGGTATTGCACAGGGGTGATTCTCACACCTGTGAGGGGCATATTTGTTTGGGTTTCTAAACAGTATGGCACGTCGACACACCTGAAATGTAACCTGGACATAACTTGGCCGCTCCTGTCCAATCAAAATGGGCTTTGAGGGAATGCAAAGAAGTGACCTAAGTTTATCAGAATGGAAACCAACATGATCTTTCTGCTTTTAAAGGTGGATTAAAGAGATACCACTTCCTGCTAAACTGAAGGGATTCAGTGTAGAAAAGGCGGTTCATAGTCTCTGAGGCTGATTCATGCTGCTCTGTGGTATGCTTTTGGTTTATATCTTTTCACCCATTGCTTGTCTTCTTGTTTGTGCTTTTGTAAAAAAGTTAAATAAAAAAGAAAACATGTATAAGGCATAAGAAGTCCATCTAACTGGTATAAATATAAATAAGCACAGTACTGTGAAGACGGCTTTGGTGTTTATTGTACTCCCCGATTATGGTAAATGGTAAATGGCCTGTATTTATATAGCGCTTTACTAGTCCCTAAGGACCCCAAAGCGCTTTACATATCCAGTCATCCACCCATTCACACACACATTCACACACTGGTGATGGCAAGCTACATTGTAGCCACAGCCACCCTGGGGCGCACTGACATCATTACATAATCAAATCAGCAGGTAGCCCTTTTGCTGTACCATTTGGCTTTGAATAAGCGAAGCCATCAGACAAAAAGACTAAATACCTTGCCACATTAAACAAGGTGACACATTTAGATAAGATGACAGTGTTTGAGAATCATGAAAAGGACTGCTAAAAAGAACAAAAGAAACAACACTTGCACATGTTTTGACTTTATGAGCCTCATAAAAGCCTCACCTTTAACCTTACTGCGCTTACTCAGTCAACTAGTGAGTATAATCCTCACTTTATATTGAAGATAAATGATTTTTAGTACAAAGCACCAGGTTTCAAAGGCCACTGTGAAAGTGTCACGGGGGGGAAGCAATGCTGATATACACTGAACAGGCTGACATTATTTCTGTTCATGCTTGCATTAGTTACTTTTGTGCCTCTGTTACTATAAAACAGAACGCATTTGCAATTGTAAATCAAACTTGAGAGCTCGATCGCAAATGGATTACACTGACTTCAAATGTGGCTCTAAAATGTGATTTGTGAATCCTAAAGCTTAGAAACTTGTTTGAAAAGTAGGCGGGACCCACGCTGAAAGATGTACTCTCTCTCTGTTGGCCAGACTCGATTGGAGGGACAGCTTGGAAATATCTACAGTTTATAAACGAGATGGGTGATGGGTTAAACAAATACACGTTTCTGTTAATCTTTAACTGGATTTACATTTTCATCAGAAAGTCATCTTGCATTTAAAAAACAAAAACAAAAAAACTGAGCGCGGTGTTCAGAGTTCGCTCTGAAAATGACAAGAAAGACACAAAAGTAATTCCACACACAAATCTGTAATGCCAAAATAGCTTTTCTCAAGAATGCGTTTCCCTTTTA